GTAGTAGTAGTAGTAGTAGTAGTAGTAGTAGTAGTAGTAGTAGTAGTAGTAGTAGTAGTAGTAGTAGTAGTAGTAGTAGTAGTAGTAGTAGTAGTAGTAGTAGTAGTAGTAGTAGTAGTAGTAGTAGTAGTAGTAGTAGTAGTAGTAGTAGTAGTAGTAGTAGTAGTAGTAGTAGTAGTAGTAGTAGTAGTAGTAGTAGTAGTAGTAGTAGTAGTAGTAGTAGTAGTAGTAGTAGTAGTAGTAGTAGTAGTAGTAGTAGTAGTAGTAGTAGTAGTAGTAGTAGTAGTAGTAGTAGTAGTAGTAGTAGTAGTAGTAGTAGTAGTAGTAGTAGTAGTAGTAGTAGTAGTAGTAGTAGTAGTAGTAGTAGTAGTAGTAGTAGTAGTGGTAGTAGTAGTAATAGGAGTAGTAAGTAAAAGTAGTAGCAGTGCTCATACTGCTGGCAATGTTTTTTTTCCCAACCCTCCTGCGTTGGGTTCTCGTTTTGAATAGAGCACTGTGGTCTCCACTCCTCCCGCTCCCTCTCCTCCTCTCTTCGTTCCTGCTCTCCTCCGATCTGTGAAATTGTCGCCACTTTCGAGGGCTGCTGGTGGGTCCAGCGGAGTGAGGCACCACGGGGACTCAGATTAGACCTCGCCATCCCTGGGGGGGGGCTGCGATCTGTGAAACTGTCGCCACTTTCGAGGGCTGCTGGTGGGTCCAGCGGAGTGAGGCACCACGGGGACTCAGATTAGACCTCGCCATCTCTGGGGGGGGGGGCTGCGATCTGTGAAACTGTCACCACTTTCGAGGGCTGCTAATAGTCCAGCGGAGTGAGGCACCACGGGGACTCAGATTAGACCTCGCCGTCTCTGGGGGGCTGCGATCTGTGAAACTGTCGCCACTTTCGAGGGCTGCTGGTGGGTCCAGCGGAGTGAGGCACCACGGGGACTCAGATTAGACCTCGCCATCTCTGGGGGGCTGCGATCTGTGAAACTGTCGCCACTTTCGAGGGTTGCTGGTGGGTCCAGCGGAGTGAGGCACCACGGGGACTCAGATTAGACCTCGCCATCCCTGGGGGGGGGGGCTGCGATCTGTGAAACTGTCGCCACTTTCGAGGGCTGCTGGTGGGTCCAGCGGAGTGAGGCACCACGGGGACTCAGATTAGACCTCGCCATCTCTGGGGGGGGGGCTGCGATCTGTGAAACTGTCGCCACTTTCGAGGGCTGCTGGTGGGTCCAGCGGAGTGAGGCACCACGGGGACTCAGATTAGACCTCGCCATCTCTGGGGGGCTGCGATCTGTGAAACTGTCGCCACTTTCGAGGGCTGCTGGTGGGTCCAGCGGAGTGAGGCACCACTGGGACTCAGATTAGACCTCGCCACCCCTGGGCGGCTGCGATCTGTGAAACTGTCGCCACGTTCGAGGGCTGCTGGTGGGTGGCCGGCGGAGTGAGGCACCACGGGGACTCGGATTCATGACCACGAGCAATGCTCGCGTGCCCTTGCTCTGCGGTTCGTGCCATCGCTACCGTCCTTCGAGGTTGCCCATCGAGCCCTCTAACAAATATATGCACGCATGCAGTCGGCCTGCAGCGCCGTACTGGTGGCTGAAGAAAGGCGCCTGCTCCGCGGTCTTAGCAGCGCGCGGGGCCGAGGCGTAATTGCCGACGCGCGCAAGCTTGCGCATTCGCTAACCGCGCTTCCAAGTTGCCTGTCAGGCGCTCTATAACCACAGCCACCGCGGAATCGCGGAAGTGGATTTCTGCTGAAAGAGTTCGAGCTACGCCTCGCTCGTTCCTTGCACTCTAAACAAGTTTTGTCATATGGAACTCTGCGACGACATGGCGCAGGCAGCGCTGCGGGTTTAGCTCGCACTTGAAAAACGCGGCAGTCTTCTGTCTCCTCCCGCCACTTTCATCGTCGTCCTATTCCCCGCCTCACCTTCTCCATGCATGCTGCTGCTTCCGCGATGGCCTTTCGCCCCCCCCGCCCTCCATTCCATCCCTCTCCTACCCCTCGTTCCCGTACCCGTTCTTCTTCGATCCTGGGGCCTCAAGCCTCGTTCTTTCGATCGTCGTCCTGTGAATCGTGCAACGCATGCGCATCCCATGTAGCTTGCACAGCAAATCGCCGCGTCTACACTGTCGTTGTTCCTGCTAATGTTGGCATAGTCCTCTTGCCATTTGGTGCACGTGGGTTGGGTACGTCGCAGGGTAATCTACGAAAAGAGAGAGTAGCACGAATAGGCAGAGTAAAATGAATAGTAATACGACTACTATTACTAGCAGTAGTAGTTGTACGAGTAGTAGAAATAGTAGTAGTACTAGTAGTAGTAGTAGTAGTAGTAGTAATAGTAAAAGTAGTAGTGATAACTGTAGTCGTAGTAGTAGTAGTAGTAGTAGTAGTACTAGTAGTAGTAGTAGTAGTTGTTGTAGTCGTAGTAGTCGTAGTAGTAGTAGTAAGTGGTAGTCGTGCTAAGAGTATCAGTAGGACTCGTAGTACTAGTACTACTCGTAGTACGACTAGTACTAGTAGTCCTAATGGCAGTAGTAAAATTAGTAGCAGTAGTAGTAGTAGTAGTAGTAGTAGTAGTACTCGTGGTAGTAGTAGTACTACTACTACTAATAGTAGCATTAGAACTACTACTACTACTACTACTACTACTACTACTACTACTACCCGTGCTAGTACTACCAGTAGAACTAGCAATACCAATAGTAGTAATACCAGTAGTAACCGTGGTAGTGTAGTAGAAATAGTAATAGTGGTTAATAGTACTAGTAGTACTATTAGTAGTAATCAGAAGCGCAATAGTAGTAGTACGAGTCGCACTAGAAGCCGCAATAATAGTAATAGTGGTAGTCGTAATAGTCGGTAGTAGCAGTAGTACTTAGTAGTACTCGAAGTAGTCGTCGTAGAAGTAGTCGTAACAGCAGCAGTAATAGTAATGGTGATAGTGATGGTAGTAGTAGTAGTAGTAGTAGTAGCAGTAGTAGTAGTAGTAGTAGTAGTAGTTATTGTTGTTGTTGGACTCGCAGTACTACTACTACTAGTAGCCCTATGAATAGTAGTAGTAGTAGTAGTAGTAGTAGTAGTGGTACTAGTAATAGTACGAGTAGTAGCCGTAGTAGCAGTAGTAGTAGTAGTAAAGGTAGTAGTAGCCGTAGTAACGACAATCGTGGTAAGATTGATACTATGAGCAATAGTACGCATACTACCAGTAATACGGATAGTAATGGTAGTCGTAGTAGTTGTGGTAGTATGTGTAATGGCACGTGTAGTACTAGTAGTAGGAGTAGTCGCAGTAGTAGTCGTAGTAGTAGTAGTGATAGTAGTAGTAGTAGTAGTAGTCGTAATTCTAGTAGTAGTAGTAGTAGTAAACGTAGCAGTAGTAGTAGTAGTAGTAGTAGTAGTAGTAGTAGTAGTCGCAGTAGTAGTAGTAGTAGTAGTAGTAGTAGTAGTAGTAGCAGTAGTAGTAGTAGTAGAAGTAGTAGTAATAGTAGGACTAGTATTAATAATAGTAATAGTAGTAGTAGTCGTAGTCGTAGCCGTAGTCGTAGTAGTAGTAGTAGTAGCAGCAGCAGCAGTAGTAGTAGTAGTAGTAGTAGTAGTAGTAGTAGTAGTAATAGTAGAGGTAGTAGTAGCAGTAGTAGTAGTAATAGTAATAGTAGTAGTAGTCGTCGTCGTAGTCGTAGTAGTAGTCGTAGTAGTAGCACTAGTAGTACTAATAATAGTACTAGTAGTACTAGTAGTAGTAGTACTAGTAGCAGGACTAGTAATAGTTGTAGTAGTAGTAATAGTAGTAGCAGGAGTAGTAGTAGTAGTAGTAGTAGTAGTAGTAGTAGTAGGAGTAGTAGTGGTGGTGGTGGTGGTGGTAGAAGTTGTGGTAGTAATTCGTACTACTCCTGGCCCCAGTGGGATTTCCGCCGAAAGAATCCGAGCAATCCTGGGAATCAGGGAACCCTGGGAATCCTAGGGTTCCTTTTTGGGAATTCTAGCAATCCTTGAGGAATCCGAGGAATCCCCCGGAATAGTGGCAATCTCTTGGGAATGAGTGAACCCTGGGAATCGCGAGGAAATCCTACGAATCTTTCGGGAATGCTTGGGGACCCCCACGGGATCCCAGGAAAACTTGGAAACCCCTGTCGCTGATCCCCTGTATGGGATTCCACACAGATCCCATACGGCCTGGTACGGCTGGGTTCGGTTCCAGTTGGATTCATATAGGGTTGGAAACACTCCCCCCTGGACTGGGCGTAGCCCACCCTCGAAGGGGGGGGCCGAAGGTTCGGGACGGGGGGGGTGCTGGGTTGCTAAGTGCTGATGGGGGGGTTGGGCGACCTTTAAACCCGCCTTTTGTCAACAACAACAGCCACAACAATAACAACATCAACAACAACAACAACAACACCACCACCACCACCACCAACAACAACAACAACAACACCACCAACAACTAACCGAATCCATCCCTCTTCCTCCTCGTCCTCCCACTCCTTCCCGTCCTGGTACCTTCGTCCCCCCTCCTCAAAAATCCCATCCTCCCACTCTTCTTCCCTCCTCCTCCTCCTCGCTTCTCTGGAAGACTTCCCCTCGTCATTCTCCTCGTCCTTCTCCTCGACGAGAAGGAAGACGAGGAGGAGGACGAGGAGGGGCAGGAAGAGGAGGCGAAAGAGCAAGGAGCGAGGTCCGAGGATGAGCAAGCAGTCGTTGCTCATCCTTTTCCTCCTTGTTCCTCGCTCCTCCTTCCTCTCTCCTCGCCATTATAATTCCTCCTCGTCCTCGCCCTCGAACTCGTCGTCCTCTGAGGGCAAGATTCATATCCATTTGCAGCGCGCCTTGTACTTTCTTGGAAGGGGCGCCAGAAGGCCGAGGCGCACTGGATATGGATTCAACGAGCCTCCAGGGGCCAGATTGTTATCCATATCTAGTGCGCCTCGGGTTGGCCCGAAATTCAACGCTGTAACCAATGGATATGGACACAAGTCTTGCCCGCATCGTGATCCCCACGTCTGCGGCGGGCCTGGAGCTCCCCCGGGCTGAACCTTTCGAAAGCGGCGGCGGCCTGGTCCTCGGTGGGCCCGCCGCACCAGCCGGCTCGTCCGAACGCTCCAACCCCATGGGCCCCTGCTGCTGGCTGCTGCTGCTGCTGCTGCTTCTTCTTCTTCTTCTCAGTTTTCGCGCGATGCCGCGGGCAGGTTACCACGGGCACTGGCCAGCAAATTGGCTCAACGCGAAACGGACACCAATGTGACTCTGCTGGCTCGCTCAGCGGGGCCCAACGGCCCGCAACTTGGCGGGTCTGTCGGAGCACCCACTGGCCGCCCACGGATATTCTGCCCCACCTGCTGCTTCTCCTCCGCCTCCATCCCTGTTCCGTGAAGATAACTCCTCCCAGTCTGGCCACCAGACGTGTCCGCAGGGCGTGCCCAGCGTTTCGCCCGAGACGGCCTCCCCGCTCATGACCCCGAAGCAATTGAGATTGCCAACGGTTACGCGGACGCAAGAGGGTGTCTTGCAAAATGTGGCTCCCGCCTCAAAGCCGCGCACTTTCGCCTCAAGAGCTCCTAACATTTCCACTGGTGGAGGCAAGGGTTGTTTGCAACATGTGACTCTCGCCTCAACGCCGCGCACAATCATCTCAAAAGCTCGCAGTAGTCACACGGATGGAGGAGTGGTGGTGGTCAAAATGTGGCTCTCGCTTTCGCACCGCGCGCATTCGTCTTTAAAGCTCCCAATAATTACACGATTGGAGGCGAGTAATTTTCAAGCGACGGTTCACACACGCGCGCACAAAGGATACGCGTCGTAACCCCCCAGCCGTATTTGTGCATTGGCTTGTGACCGTGGTGCCAGAAGGTTGTCCAGTGTGTGCCGCCATGTGGCATGGCAGTGGCACACCTTGCAGACCTGGCAGACATGGCGCGACTGGCGCGCATAGCGCAGTGGGCGCGCCTTGCGGCGCACCAGGCGCACCAGTCGCCCAAGACTGGCACACTTGTCGCAACTGACGTGCCTGCTGCGTGGTTCGCACGGTCAGCATCAGACTGGCCTGACACGCGGGGCTGGCGTGCGTGCTGCACCTGGCGTGCACGTTCGTTATCTGCGGCTGGCATCCCGATGGATTGTTTTTTCCCAACCATCCTGTGGTGTTGGGTCCTCGTTGTGAAGAGACAGCGCCCCGCGTCTCACCTCCTCCCGCTGCCCCCTCCCTCATCCCCCTCCTCCCTCTTCCCATCCGCCTCGCCATCGTCATCGTCATCGTCATCATCGTGATCATCATCGCCATCGTCATGATCCACATCATCATGATCATCACCATCGTCATCGTCATCGCCGGGCCCCTCACACAGTTCGTGGCACCATATCGAGCTCCACCGAAGGCCCCAGCGGGAGCGTCCGCATGGCACCGCCGCCCCATTTTGGCACACCCATCACACGGTTCGACGCCCCATAGGGAGCTCCACCGAAGGCCCCACTGGGAGCGTCCGCACGGCACCGCCACTCCTTTCTGGCACACGCACACACAAGCACATCACACGGGTCGTGGCCCCATAGGGAGCTCCACCGAAGGCCCCTGCGGGAGAGTCCGCATGGCACCGCCGCCCCATTGTGGCACATCCCTCACACGGTTCGTGGCCCCATGGGAAGCTCCACCGAAGGCCCCAGCGGGAACGTCCGCATGGCACCGCCGCCTAACTTTGGCACACCCATCACACGGCTCGTGGTCCCATAGGGAGCTCCACCGAAGACCCCAGCGGGAGCGTCCGCATGGCACCGCCGCCCCATTTTGGCACACCCCTCACACGGTTCGTGGCCTCATAAGGAACTCCACCGAAGGCCCCCGCGGGAGCGTCCGCAAGGCATCGCCGTCCCATTCTGGCACACCCCTCACACGGCTCGTGGCCTCATAAGGAACTCCACCGAAGGCCCCAGCGGGAGCGTCCGCATGGCACCGCCGCCTCATTTTGGCACTCCCCTCACACGGGTCGTGGCCCATAGAAGCTCCACCGAAGGCCCCAGCGGGAACGTCCGCATAGCACCGCCGCCCCATTTTGGCACGCCCTTCACACGGTTCGTGGCCCCATAAGGAATTCCGCCGAAGGCCCCAGCGGGAACGTCCGCATGGCACCGCCGCCCAATTTCAGCACAACTTTTACAAGTTTCGTTTCCTCATAAGGAACTCCACCGAAAGCCCCACCGGGAGCGTCCGCATGGCACCGCCGCCTCATTTTGGCACACACCTCATACGGTTCGTGGCCCCAGAGGGAGCTCCATCGAAGGCCCCAGCGGGAGCGTCCGCATGGCACCGGTCGCGCACGGAGCTCGGGCGAAACCAAAAAGATTCCCCGCTCGCCCTCGTCAGCTTTTCTCCCCCCATGCACGCCGCAGTTGTCTTTGCCGCCCCCCTTTTTCGTCTCCTCTCCCTCGCGGTACTCGCAGCAGCATATGACTGGGTCCTTCGTCAGGCGAACTCGCCTGTGCGAGGTGGCGCGGCGCCTGCTAGTTATGTGTTATTTTGTTTGGCGCGTCGAATCTCGTGCGTAACAATCAAACTGCCAACACGAACGCTAAATAGAGAATGGTGCCCCTCTGGGGCCAAAAAGCGCCCATGTGCAAGAAGAACGCTGGAGGAACAAGTACGTAGGGACCTCGGGAACTGCGAGCCCGTTCCGAACCCGAACTGTTCCTCGTTTCAGCGCCTTGTTTTTATTCGCACAAGTTCCCCGAACATGGCTTGCACTGGAGAAGCTGCCGGCCTCGAAAGATCTGTCGCCGACAGCCGCCAGTCCTATTTCGGAGGCGCACAAACATGGATTAGCGATCCATGGATTTGGCGCGCGGTCGCCTCATCCATGGATTGGTGGAGGTGCCTTCCCCCGAACGCGGCCGGCGCCGCCTCGTTCGGCGGCGGAAATCCTGGAGAAAACCCCGCGGGGGGTTAAATCAGGGGGGGTTACATCAGTATCCTTTTCGGGGATGCGTGAGTGTGTTTATAATTTGATGGATCCTGATGGATATCACTTGGGTTCTCATAGATATCACTTGGGTTATGATGGTGATGACGATGGCGGTGGTACCGATGGGTGATGATGATGATGGTGATAATGAGGATGGGCTGTCGTGTAGTTGATGATGCTGATAATGGGAGGCGACGATGGTGAATATGATGACGTTGACGGCGATGAGTTTGATGAGCGGCTGTGAGAACGATGATGATGATGATGGTGATGATGATGATGATGGCGGTACCGACGGTGATGACGACGACGACGATGATGTTGATGTGTTTTTGTTTTCCCAAACGCGTACTGAGTCAGTGCGGCAGCAGAAGGCCCATGAATCACTTTACCACACCCAGTGCCTACAAAATCTAGCAGGAGGCCAACGCCACCCTTCCACACCCGATGTAAGCTCACAGCAACTTATATCAAGGACGACAGCGCGTTCTGTTCTCACCTTGCCACCTGCGCACCCACGCTTCGTCTCTTTCTGGTGTCTGCACGAGCACCCGAAACAGCAGTGACCGATTTGCCCATTTGTTTGAGGCGGTATCCCAGACGCGCATCTTCCACGACGCCGCGTCGCGTAGACCAGGGCTGTAGTGAAGCTGGAATTGGCCGTTCACTCGGCCGCAACGCCCACGCCCAACTGTAAACCAGGCCTGGAATAACAGGTGGTCCATGAACATGCATGCCTCCTGGTGGCGGGGGGGCTTCCGCTGGTGGCGGTAGCGGAGGCGCTGGCGCTGGTGCTGCCGCTGGTACTGGAGGTGCTGGCGCTGATGCTGGTGGTGGTGGTGGTGGTGGTGCTGGCGCTGGCGCAAGCACTGGAGGTGCTGGTGGTGGTGGTGGAGGCGGTGGAGGTGGCGGTCGGGGCAATTTAACCCCTCGCTAACTGAAGGTGGGAGCAAAGGCAGCGGAGTTGCCGTTGGTGTTCGGGACCACCCAGTACTGATTCTGGTTTATTGCGCGTCCAAAGACGATGCCGCGGTGGCCGCCGATGGGGTTCTCTACTTGGCTGGAGACCGTTGCCTCGGTGCCCTCCTGGATGAACGGAGATGCGGTTACCGGGGCGGGACTGTAGAGTCGGATAGCGCATTGGTTCTGGCGAACCTAACGAGCTGTCAGGTCCCCCGTTCTGATCTGAGGTTCCATCCGTCACGGTGGTCCCGCTCTTTACTGAAGTCCCCTTCGTAGGGGTAGGCGTCGGCCTCGTCGTAAGGGGCCCAAGTCTTTGTGCAACCATCGTCGACGGTGTCCCTGGACGCTTTGTTTGGAGAACCAGTCTAAGTCCAGCTCTTCGCTGCAAGGAGGTGCAGTCCGTGGCGCTTGCTTTGCCGCGGGTGTTATTGAGGCCCCGCGTAGATTCGTACTGGGCTCCACCCTGGTGGGTGTGCCCGTAGGGGTTGGCGGTGGCCGCAAAGGTTGAGTGCAGTGTCCTTGGTACCGGATACCCCTTCTGAGATAAAAGGCTGGCTAGATGGCCGCGGAGTCCCAAGGACGGTCGGCGTTTAAGCCCTAGCGGGATGTCGGTGGATGATACTGGTGCGCGAGGTCCCGTGGCCATCCCGGTGAAAAACGGCGGCACGACCAGGACGTCCCAGCTTGGCGCGCCTCGGCTGATGAATGGGGCGGTGACGTTGCCCTGGTGTGCGTCGGCCGCGGCCATGAACCCTGCGGAGCGCGGCTGGTGTCCGTCTTGAAATTCGGGGAGCGGTGCAGCATGATGTACCCTGCACGGTTTCATTGGTTACCCCTCAGCTTACGCTTGTCGGAAGGGCGTTGTCAAACGATGTTGACAAGATCGGAGGGGCGTTGTCAAACGATGCTGACAAGATCGTCTTGATGCTTTTCAACCAGTTCGTTGTAAGTAAGCAGCGAGTGCTCGGTCGACGCCACAACTGCTCCGGAATGCGGCGACGCAAGTCTCGTTCCAGCTGAGGTTCGCGTCCTGGTGATCCGTTAAAATTGCCTTTGGGCGGCCCTTGCCTCGTGGCTTGGGCTGCAACGGTAAATGAAACGCACGGCGAGCGCTCAGCGGAAGCATTGCGGCGCGCGCGGGAATACAGAGGTGGCGCGAATATGTCACACCGTCGGGTGCAGTGCGTCCAGTCTCGCTATGCGCGGGGGAAGCTGAAAGCTGCGCCGGGGGCTTCGCGTCGCGGCTGCGCCCTGGGTCTGGTGACCTTCGAGCCGAGGCTGGGGAGAGAAACGCAGAGAGAGAGAGAGAGAGAAAGAGAGAGAGAGAGAGATAGCGCAAGAGGGCAACAACCATTGAAACACCTGAGTGTGTTCAACGTGCCTTGCCTGTCCCATGTTCTGCTTCTCCGATGTCCCATTGTAGCTCCAAGACGGCCCCAGGAATCCCAGAGACTGCTCAAGACTGCCGAAAGATGCCCCCAAAAGGCCCCAGGATGCCGCCATGATGATGGCGCAACAAGGCCACAATATGGCCCCACGATGTATGAACATCGCGTCGCGCAACCACGCGCTGTGGGGCACCACGTGTGGCCCCCCCCCGTCGTCGGTGTCAGAAGCGAGTGCAGACTTGACATCGCGCATCTCTCGGCTACGCGCAAGAATGACCCTAGGCAAGAAGAACCTTTGGCGCCTTGGCGGGCGGCTTCAGGGAACCGCTGGGGGCCAAATCCAAGCGCTCAGGCCAGTTCTGTGGGGGGGGTGGGGGCCGCGGGCCCTCGCCACAGGTCGCTCTAGCGAAGAGCAACCCTTGCGTGAAGTCGATTGTCCCGCTTAGCAGAAAAGGCTGTCAGGGTGTGGGCGCGAGCATGATTCTGAAAGACACGGGCTGAAAATTCTCTGCGGGCTTGGCGCATTTGGCGCAGCTGGCGCGCCCAGCGCACGCACACCTGGCGACCCTTGCGCAGCTGGCGAACCTGGCGGACATGGCTCACCTGGCGCGCCTGACGAAGCTGGCGCACTTGGCGTATCCCGCGCACGTGGCAAACCTGGAGCATCTGAGGCGGCTGGAGCACCTCGCACGCATGACGCACACGGCGCGCCTGGCATGACCTGCCTGGTGAGTCTGTTGCAGATGTTGGCAGTCAGACCTGGTCGTCCACGACCGTCGTCCACGACCGTCCACTGTTGACGCTGAGGCCTACGCTGACGATCGGATGCTACCTCTGTGCTGGGAGGGCGGGCGGGAGAGAGCACTGCAGCTTTGTGGCGTTCCTTCGGAGAATCTGAACCCCACTCCCATCTTCGCCCCATCCGGTTCCCGCCGCCTCTCCCTCCCTGCCCTGCCCCCGTCCTCTAATCCACCTCCTCGTCTTTTTCTTTCTCCGCTTCCTCCTCCTCCTCCCTCCTGTCTCATTCAGGCCCTACTCGTTCCTATTTCTCCATCCTCCAAGCATGCCTGGCACCTTCGCGCGATGCGTACTTCCACCGAGCAGCGTGCCCCCTTGCCAGTAGGCGGCTCTGGCATATGCTGACGGCACACATTAGCACCACGACCTCTCAGCCCGGGAACGGTCATTCTTTTCGAGTCGGACAAGCGCCAGCAGGAGTCAAACGCGAATTGGCAGGAGGCCCAGGACAATGCACACTGTCTCCCAGGGCCAACTCAAAGCAGATGGGGCAAGGAATTGCAGAGGCAGGCACGAGTGCTGCTCGACCCTGGGCCACCCAAACCGCCCGGCCAGATGCGAGCTGGCATGCCGCCAGCAGTCACAGAGGGCGCCGCCCCGCTCACTGCGTCTCCAGGTCGAGGGCCTCCAGGCGGGTGGTGGCACAGCCCATGAGGCAGGTCACGTCGAACTCCATTGAGAAGTGGCCGCTGAGGTAGATCATGTTGCCCAGCCCGTTCCTTGTTACGCTCCACGCCTCGCGGCCTTTGATCACGTGAAAATTGTCCCCGTGACCCGGCGTGTCGAGGATCGTAGCCTGCCCAGATTTTATGATGTCGCTGATCGTCGTGTGCACCTCCGCGGCCCTGGTGAAGGTGGCGGGCGGAACCGGAAGTCCGTCGACCAGGGTGGCCAGGTCGGCACCAGTCGTCCAAGCATCGTTGATGGCTTGCATTTTAAAGCTCACCTCGGCCCATGTGATTGCCACGACGGGGTAAGCCAACCGAATAAGTCGGGACAAGCCGACGTCGCTCTCCGTGCCGATGTCGATCAACTCCTGGACCGTCTTGTACTTCAACATGTAGCTCGCGTCAGCGACCGGATCGCAGATCTTCCAGGACAAGTTGCTCGTGCTGGCGAGGTTGTTCCACCCACCGAGCTGGAAGCCCATCATGTTGGTGGCGTAATCGCCCCCGTTCAGGCTGGCCACGGGGCAATCGTTGGACACGTAACACCACTGCTTGTCGGTCATGTTATCATCGCCCATGGCCACCGCGTTATCAGCCTCATCGCTCAGCGCCAACAAGTCAACGTTGACGCAAGAGTTGTTCTTCAAATTCTTGAAAAAATCGTTGCAGACCTTGTGAGGCAAGCCAGCGATGGGCTCGGTGGCGGCATAGGCAGCAGTGAACCCGTATTTTGAAAGAAAATGAAGCTCTTTGCCGCGGCCGCACATGGCAAGATGGTCGTAATAGACCCCTGCCCAATTGAGGCAATCGCAAGCCCCACGCTTCGTGGCGGCATCTTGGGCCTGCTGACCCGTGAGGGCCCGCGCGAACGCAAGCCAGGCCAGCGCAGAGGCAATCCTGCCGAACATTGTCGAGTGTAGAGGTTTCACAGCACGCGCAGTTGCAGTGTACAAGGGATTTGTTCAATATCCACGCGCTGTGCTCGACAGCTGAGCCAAAATAACTGCGGTGGTGGCTCGGAACGGGAGGACGAAGGGGAGTCGGTATGACATGAATGAAGGAAAAGGGTTTGGTGAATCCCCAAAACGCCCAGTGAGGAAGACACATGTGTATATATATACATATACATACATATAATTATATATATGCGTGTGTATATGCATATCGGTGAAAGCAGAGAGAGAGAGAGAGCGAGAGAGAGAAGCGAGAGAGAGAGAGAGAGCGAGAGAACACACACACACACAACAAACATATAGAAAGAGAGCGAGAGGGAGAGAGCGAGAGAGCGAGAGAGGGATAGAGAGAGGCACATATATATAGAAAGAGATAAAGAGAGAGAGGAGAGAGACATAAACACAGAGAGAGAGACAAAGAGCACGATGCATAGAAAGAGAAAGAGATAATGATAGAGAAATAGAGAGAGAGCGCGAGAGAGACCGATAAATATATAAATGTATTTATGAAGAGAGAGAGAGAGAGAGAGACAGAGAGAAAAAAAGAGCAAGAGAGAGAGAGAGAGACAGAAAGACAGAAAGAGAGATAGAGAAAGAGAGAAAGATAACGAAGGAGAGAGACAGAGAAAGCGAGAGAGAGAGAGAGAGAGAGGAAGCAAACTACAACGAAAACCATACAATGTGAAATGCGTGTGTGTTTGTGTGTTTGTGTGCGGGGGGGAGGCGAAACCGCCCTGGATACCCTTGGCAGCCCCTGGAAGAGCTCTGGAGATCCTCAGAAGGCCCGTGGAAAGCAAAACCGTGGACTCCTGAAGGTTCCAAGGCTGGAGAGTGGCGGGGGTAAGCTCAAGTGAGCGAGCAAAATAATAACTTCTGCTGGCATTAGGCTTGGCTGCCGCGGGAATCGTCATGGCAGGCTTTTCTACGGAGCGTCATGTGCTCATCGCTGCCTGATGATCTTTCTGTTGCTGCTGATCCCCCCTGACAGAAAAGGAACATCGCATGCATGTATGAGTATGGGTATACGTGTAGTACACGCACACACCTGCAATCCACCGACCCCAGCTTGCCAGGGGTGAACAAGCGTGTGAGATACAGCAGGAGCTCGACCACAAGAAACCTTCGCAAGAAAGCCAACCCTGAGACCCCAGGACGTTCATTGATTTTTGGTGGGAACGTCACGCTTTCCATAGCAAAACCATCGCAACCCAAGAAACCCAAGGCACCCTGGAGGCAAGCAAGGTGCTTCTTGGCACGGGTTCCCACTGTATTGTGGCTGTCCTCCTCAGTATTTCCCCCTTCCCTGCTGGGCCCGAAATCCCGTTTGAGGGGGGGCTGAGGTTTGGGACAGAGGAGGTACGAGCTCCCCAGCGCACATCTGAGGCCCCCGGAGCCTCCAAACCCACCCAGCAGATGAACGGCACGCCCGCCGACTACCTCACTCGGGCCACGTTCATTCTGAACGTCGGGACCTCCCTGGAGGGCGACGCCGAGGCCTGAGATGGCCAGCGCCCACCGCCAGCAGGTCCGAAGGAGCAGGGACGTCGTCCCCGGGGAAAGTCGTGGAAAGTCCAAACCCACCCTCCGTGGCCGTCAACCTGCCTCCAAAGTGCCCCTCCACGCCAGAGGCCTCGAAAACACCCAACATGGCCTCAGGACGGCCAAGGACGCCCCCAGGACGCCCTAAGGGAGCCCCAGGAGGACCTCTAAGAGGGCCTGAAGAGACACAAGTCATTGATTGAACTGCCAGTCTGGTTTGGGATGATTGTCGCGTTATCGACTTTTGTTTGGATGCCCGACATGGGTACAGCAAAATAGGTGCAGTGTCCAACAACAAATGCTGTCCCAAACCAACAGCGGCCGCTGTTGGGCAGGCGGCCTTCTGTTTCAAACGGACACAGGCCGGGGCGACACCGACAACGAGCCCTGTTAAAAATGATCAGGAACTGCTGTCGGTCTTTGTACCCAGTCTTTCCGTCCCCATTTTGATAGTCCCAATTGTCCGGCTTCTGACAATCCAAGGCTCCGACAGCACCCCAGTCCCGCCCAAGGCGGCCCAGGAGAGGCCCCCGAGAGTGCCCGTAGACGGCCCCCGAGGCCCTTCCAGGGGAGAGGCTTCGGGGAGTAGAGGGGGGGGGGGGATAGGTTGTCTGAGACGGTGGGGATTCGGGGAGGGGATGGGGGGCGCGAGGACGGAGCGAGAGGGGAAGGGGAGGCGGGGGGGGGAGGGGGAGGGGGGGGGCAGGACAGGGGAGGCGGCAGGGGAGGGGAAAACAGGAGGAGAAATCAGGAGGAGAGGAAAGGAGGCAGAGACAAGAGCCTTCAAGAGGGCCCAAAGAGAGCCCCGAGAGGGGGAACTCGCAGAGAGCCAGGGAGCCCGGGAGCTAGTTGGCCCCCAAGACCCCCACCATTGGAGGCCTGGATATGAGCACCAACACCAACATAAGGTGTTGCCTCCACAGGGGTAAGGTGATCCTAGATTTCGGTGCTGTTGGTAATATTTCGGTCACCTTGTAAGTCCGAATATTACCACCATCACCGAGATCGGGATCTCCCTCCCTCGGTGGAGGCACACCGCCGCTATTGGTGTTGGTGTCAACCTCTAGGCCTGCGACACCATGATCACATGCTGTCACATCCCATGTGTACCTGTACGATTTGGGGAGTCGTTCAATTCTATCATCTTGCGGGCTGCATTGGCCCATCCGCTGGCTCTTGGGGAGATTCAGCCGTAAACATGTTTTCCAGAATCGCCAATTACCTTGCATGGAGAATTTAGTTAGTGACCTTAGGAATTTCGAAAATTCGCCGGCCCAACGGGCCAGAGGCGTGCTAAGATCTCCGGTAACTGGTTAACAATTTTCTAGTTCGCGCGCGCGGGGCGGCCCCTGGGGGTCCCCGGACGAAAAGTACCCCGACCAGGTCCCGGCCGGTCCCCGGCCGGGTCCCGGCCGGGTCCCGGCCGGGTCCCGGCCGGGTCCCGGCCGGGTCCCGGCCGGGTCCCCCCGAGCGCTCCATGAGCGCACCAACAGGGCTCCGAGACGTCCCCGAGAGCCCCAAGAAAGGCCAAGAGGCCCCCAAGAGGCCCCCAAGATGGTACACGAGGGGTCCGACATGCCACAAGATCGCTCCAAGACGCCCAAGATAGCCCCCAGACGCCCCAAGAGGCCTCCAAGAGCACTCCCAATAGGGCCCCCGGAGGCAAAAATCATTGTTTTTCCATAGGTTTTTGAGAGATTTTGGAGCTTCCACCTTTTCGGCTTCCCGACGCCCCAAGACGGCCCAAGAGGCCCCCAAGATCGCCCCAAGAGGGCCCAAGAGGCACCCAAGAGGGCCCCAAGATGGCCCAAGAGGGCTCGAAGACGGCCCAAGAAGCCTCCAAAACGGTCCAAGAGGGCCCCAAGAACGCCCCCAAAGGGGCCCCAGAGAGGGAACACGAAACAACATTTCGAGCCCTCGGCCCTAAGAAGCCCCTACGAGGCCCCTAAGAGGCCCCAAGAGGCCCCCACGGGGCCCTCAGGAGGCCCCCAAGAGTCCCCCAAGCGGCCCCAGGAGGCCCCCCAAATGCCCCCCCGAGCGCCCCAGGAGTCCCCCAAGCGGCCCCAGGAACCCCCAAAGCGCCGCATTGACACCAGGCCCTCGGGCAAACGGCAGACATGAGACTGTATGGGCCGGCGGAATGAGCGAAGCGATTAAATAAAGTGAAGTGGCGGTGGATTCTTGGCAAAAGCAGAATGCAACAATACAGGATACCGTTTGTAAGTACAAGGTCCCCCACGCAGCCGGTGGACCCAGCTCTCGGTGCTTGGCTGTCCCGTTTCCGAGTGCACGTGGTAGACGTTGTCAAGAGAGTGCGGTCACAGCACGTTCGGGATAGGTCTTTCTCCAACGCGTACCCTGTGGTGCGGGTCGCTCGCAGCCTTTTGCAGAGCATGGAATTGGTGGGAGTTCCCAACGACAAGGAGCCAGGGTTCACAGTACTCACGAAGGACCAGTACACCAGGGCTTGTCTTGAGATTCTGAATGGCCCTGACTATTGGGAAGTGCCGTATAATCTCGAAGATCTTCCTTTTGGCAGGGTGTACGCTCGCCTTGTTAAGAAAGTTGCGGACCTGGAAGACGACGCGGATCTCCAGAGGTGCCTAAATAGGTCCCTCCGCGCTGACGGGGCGGTATGGACCAACAGATTGAAGCTCACATGCAAAACCCACAAAGCCGATGGAGAAGTCACGTTTCGGAATCTGCACACGGCTCCCAGGAGCAAGCAGAAGGGTCTCTCGCTATGGATGGCTGCCCAATTACAGGCCGCCTTGGACGCGGTGCCGGCAGGGACCATTCTGAAGTCGCCCCAGGAGTTCGTGGATAGAGTTCGCGTAGAAAATCGTCTCGAAGCCGTGGGGCCCGATGATCGATTTCTTCGTTTAGATGTCAAGCATTTCTTCATGTCTGGGGATTTCGAGTCGTTGTCTGGCGCGGCGGTGCAAATCCTCCCGCCTGGGCCGCGCCGAGACCTAGTCCATGAAGTGCTCATGTGGCTTCTGGAGAACCAATTCGCCACGTGTGCGTGCGCCCCCGACCGCGCATGGCAGGTGCGAAAGGGCTCGGGAATGGGCCTTCCCCATTCAGGCCCTGTGGCCGAGGCTGCGTTTTATGTGCTTGTCGAAAAACCGTGGGCCTCCAGAAGCGAGGCCTTGGAAGTCGCATTCAACATCAGATTTTATTGCAGGTTTAAGGACGACATCTTTGCAGTAGCCCGGCGCGTTGGTGCTGAAAACCACCTTGCCGCCCACTACTTTTTGAGGGGTGTCCAGACTAGGGCGCGGTGCATTTTCGACGTAGTTCTTGAAAGCATTTCGGCCCGCGAAGTGGTTTTCCTCAGCCTGCGCGTTTTCAAACGGTCTGGTCAGATTTGTGTAGTCCCCAAGGCTCGGGATGTGAGTAGCCCTGTTCTTGACCACACTTCCAGCCACGACCCCTGCACGAAACGTTGGCCAGTGGGGTTTTTGAAGTCCCAGCTGAAATTGTGCACGCACCGCGACGACCGGGCGCAGGTCGCCGCCCACATCATCGAACGCTTTCGCTTCCAGGGGTCACCGCAATCTCTAATCAATGCGTTGGAGAGTGCTGACGTCACGGCCCCCCTCCCCCCTTCCAGGCGCGTTGGGGGTGAGTCGAATGATGTAGTATGGCTCACGACGTCTTTTCACCCTCTTCTGCAATCTTGTCTCAGGAGTGCGGTGTCGAGATTCGTGGGTTCAGCTGATTCGAAGTTTTTGCGTAATATGTGTAGTAACAGAGCCGATTTCGACGTTGGCGTCAGCTTCCGACGCGGGGGCTGGAGCTTGCAGTCAATGTCAAGCTTTCACGGGTAGGTAGGTTGGGGTCCGAGGTGGACTTCTCTTTTCTCTGCAGAGCGTCCGCACGAGCAGATCCGCGGAGAGAGGCAGATACGAAATTCGCCAATGTCGTATCTTCGTAGGCTTCGCACGTGCAGACAGCAGGGGGAGACACATGATACAAACATCCCCAATATTGTATCACCGTAGTTTTTTGGTTCAGGCGCTTGGGAAGGCGTAACCACGGCCTCACGTCCTAACGCGTGAGGCGCCGAACCTCTGACATAGCCTTGAGTCGTACTGCAAAAAAGTTCGGGGAGAGGTTTTCTGGGACGGTGGGGATTCGGGGAGGGGATGGGGGGCGCGAGGACGGAGCGAGAGGGGAAGGGGAGGCGGGGGGGGGAGGGGGAGGGGGGGGGCAGGACAGGGGAGGCGGCAGGGGAGGGGAAAACAGGAGGAGAAATCAGGAGGAGAGGAAAGGAGGCAGAGACAAGAGCCTTCAAGAGGGCCCAAAGAGAGCCCCGAGAGGGGGAACTCGCAGAGAGCCAGGGAGCCCGGGAGCTAGTTGGCCCCCAAGACCCCCACCATTGGAGGCCTGGATATGAGCACCAACACCAACATAAGGTGTTGCCTCCACAGGGGTAAGGTGATCCTAGATTTCGGTGCTGTTGGTAATATTTCGGTCACCTTGTAAGTCCGAATATTACCACCATCACCGAGATCGGGATCTCCCTCCCTCGGTGGAGGCACACCTCCGCTATTGGTGTTGGTGTCAACCTCTAGGCCTGCGACACCATGATCTGAAGAGGCCCCCAACAAGCCCCCCCCAAAGCTCCCAAGAAGGCCCAAGGAGGGCCCAAAGAGAGCCCCAAGAGGGGGAGCCCGGAGAAAGCAAGGGGGGCCCGGGAGCCCACAAGTTGGCCCCCTAGACCCCCACCATGCTCTCAGCAGACCCCCAACAAGCCCCCGGAAAGCCCGCCAAAGCCCCCAGGAGCGTAAAACGGCTCCAAGGTGCCGCCCCCAAGCTTCACCCCCAGCATTAAAAAAGGCCCCCAAGGAACCGCGCAACAGACGCGGAGAAAGAAGAAGAAGAAGACGAACCAGCATTAACTGTGCAATGGCAAGACAACAGGAACCGGCAAACAACACATATAACATCGGACGCCGCACATATCCTCTTCTGGGGGTCAGTGGAATGGCGTAAGCCTCTTGATCCGCTGCGGTCCTGTCAAAATCCCCAGGTCGCGTCAGACATCCGCAGCGGTGCTGTGAATCACGGAGAGTTCTTCAAAGCACCTGAGCCTGCGCGCGGAGATCCCCGCGTCCCCCTGAAAACTTCTTGAAGCCCACGGCAGCAGATACTATCTCAGAGCCGCCCCCCTGGAGCTCCTTCGTGCCACTGACTGGCTGTGAAAGATGCATCGTCGGATCTTCGTCGGGCCTGCAGCGAGCGCCCCTCGGCGTTTCTTTCCCCACCCCGCAGGTTCCGAGTATGTTTGTGAAGATTATCGAAATCGTCGCGACTGGCCTAAGCGCAGAAGGCCTCCTCAATGATCCCTAGTGTTTACGTCCTTTGGATGCCTGTAGACTCATCCGTTTTGCAGCCCCGCGGCCAAATCTTACGTAGTCGCACCGCTAGCATCGCCTTCGGCGAGCGCTTTGAAAAGGTGGTTGCTCGCGGTAGATGCGCTCGCTCCCAAATCATGTTGTATAGGTCAACCTTTGGGTGATCAGGAGGTTCGGAGGGAGAGGGACTGACATCACACATATTTGAACTGCATCGGGCTATCAAGATGTGCGCGTCTATTTCTATCCGCCACCGTGCCACGAGGCACGAGCTTAAGTATCCTTAGGTCCTATAGAGTTCATCGTCCCACCTCATGAACAAATGATATTGAAATTTCCGGACCCACAATTCCAGGATTCCAAGGTGCGTCTGGCGTGCCTGGAAATCTTCTCGAGATACTTTCTCGAAGCCGAAAGGGCACCCGAAGCAGGGATTGTCTATGCTCTGCATATCTCCAGATAAAGGATCATTCGGGGTCCCAGGTTGCCAAGTGGAACTCCAGTTCAGCTGTGGACCTCAAGGTCCCTTTCTAAGATCGGGAAGCTTGGGACTCCTCGGTGTTCATACAATTACGACGAGGACGAGAACGAACATGAAGAGGAGCAGATGAGGATGAGCCGGGGCCTCCTCTGATCGGTAGGGGGAAGAGATTCCGAGCCTCCTCTGATCGGTAGATGTCGACTCTGTGGCCAGCAGGGCGGCTCAAGCCCTCGCCAGGTCCACATGTGGAGCTCCTGCCTGGACGTGGTTCCAGTCGGCATGCACGATACGACGGGGGCGATAGCAAACCGTTGCCTGTTCAAAACCTGTCAGAAGCTCGCCCACCGATCCATCGAGCACAAGCTTCTTGAGGGGTTCCGAGGGGTGGGACCGCCTTGGGCACAAGCTGCACACTGACCGAAGCGCCCACACGACCAGTAGGATGCCATAGAATTAAGGCTGCCTTCGCCAAATCCCGTCAGTAAAATAAGAAACAACCACATCAACATAAACTTTTGGCGCTCCGCGCGGATTTCTTGGATTCGCGCTGGACCACCCTCCCTGGCGCGCGGGGCGCGCCAGGCGCGGCGCCGGGGGCGCCGCCAGGGGGGCCCAGCGCGGATCCAAGAAACCCGCGCGGAGTGCCAAAAATGTAAGTTTATGCGTTTTTTTCTTCATCGAGTCAGGCAATCTTCGTCAGGATTGGAGACCGTTTTTTTTCATGGGGGACAACCTTGGTTATCCAGGGGGGGGGGAGGAGGAGGAGGAGGAGGAGGAGGAGGAGGAGGAGGAGAGAGGAGGAGGAGGAGGAGGAGGAGGAGGAGGAGGAGGGAGGAGGAGGAGGAGGGGGCCGGCCGATAACCGAACCTTCGCGCTGTGGGCAACCCTGCACATGCCCGCGCCCCCCCACCGCAGACCTGTACAACCGGCAAGGTTAGGTTATCCTGGGGGGAGGCGCGAGCCGTTGCGCCACCACCAGGGGGCGAGCCCCGAGATGGTGGTCCGAAGTCCAGCCTTGTGGCCGGAGGCGCACGCAACGTTGAGCAAGCCGACGTATGCGGGGGCGGGGGGGAAGGGAGGGGGGCAAGCCCGACAACCCGGGCTCTCGCCGGACCCTGAGCAAAAACAGTCTCCGACCCGGTGGTGGCCACGCATCCCCCAGGGCACCATCGGACCACAGAGTCCGCTGGGGAGGGGGAGCGGTTCCTCAGCTGCCCCGATGCGCAGCACGCACCACGTAGCGCATCGATACGGAGCTCCACACTTTGGGCAGGTGGATCTCTCAAGCTCTCCGCCGCCTCTGCGTTCCTGCTCGCAACGCACACCGCCAGAGGCGGCGGAGAGCTTGAGAGATCCACCTACCAAAAGACTGAAAGCGTAGGTCTGACGCGATGCGCTCGCCAAAACGTGGGCCAGCACGTTGAGCCAACGCGCAGCGTATATCGACACGGACGTCTTGAGCACGGTGCGTGTTTTGCGTATCAGAACGGGCGTATCGAGGCAGCTAAGGGAGATGATTCACAGAGTTCGCTCGGAATTGAATGCGCAAGTGCAAGCTGGAAGGGGAGGAGGCAAGGGTGGAGATCGGAGACGAAGTCAGCCTGGAACGTTGGGCCTTCGAGCGCGCGCGCGCGAGCCAATGCCGCGGCTGCTACCGCGGTGAGGGGAGGAGGAGGGAGAAGACGAAGAAATCCTCGTCGGGCTCCAGGGTCTCCAGGAAGCGGCATGCCACCCACGTCCAGTCCACCGCGGCGCCACCCCCTGGGTGGTGAAACATACCGTCCACTGCATCCCCCCCCCGCACCCCCCCTCCCAGGAGAGAGGGGAGGACACGGGAGGGGGCGGTGGGGGGAGGAGTGAGGAATGGCAGGGATGAAGAAGGGAGGGGGGGCAGGAAGGGCAGGAAAACAGAACGGAAGGAGCGAGTGAAGGGAAAAAGGGACCTACTGAACCTCCCTCCCCCCTCCCCTATCCACTGCCCTCTATTCATCCTCACCCCGTCTTCCACCCCGCCCCCCCTCCTCCTCCCAGAGATCCCCGAAATACCCGAAGTCTCGACCCATTCCCCGGGACCGGTTTTTCATCCCGACTCGTTTTTTGCCAGTCCTGGGGCCCGGCGAGGGCCCCTGGAGTTAAAACGGGCATGTCCCCCTACAGGCGGATTTTGGGCGAAAAATCACAAAGCATATATTCAATAATTGCCAAAACATAAACCAGCACCGTCCCCAGACTACTTTCTTACTACCTTTGCCTATGCCCCCTGTGAAGGGACATGCCCGACTTCACCCTGTAGAGGCGGAAAACGGCGAGAACCGGGGGGGATCCCTGGGCCCTCCTCTTCTCGGCGAGGGGCGAGGGCGGCACTGGCCCCGGGCAGGCGCTTCCGCCGCCGACCCCCAGCGAAGACCGCGCCGCCGGCGCTGGCGCCGCCTCCGCCCGCGGGGCCCCCGCGGCCGCGCCGGGGGGCCTCTGCCACGAGAGCCTCCAGGAACTCGTCCACCATGGGGTCCCAGCCTCTGCGGGAGAAGCTCCATGAACCCAGACCCCCTCGCGTCGTGAAAACATCGTGGCGGGAGGTCTTTCGCTATTTTCGGCCTCTGGGGGTCCTCGCCGGGCCCCCGGACCGAAAAGGGACCCAGGCTGAAAAACCGGTCCCTGGGAAGGGGTCCAGACCGCTGTGGGTCGACGTTGTGAAAAAATCACGACGCCGGGGGTCTGGGAACGCCGCCCGCAACCAAAGGGGGGTCCGGGGGGTCTGAGCTGGATGAGCCCAGAGGAATTCGGGCGAGCGGGGGGGTGGGGGCCGCAAGTGCAAGTCCGCTCAAAATGGGTCCCCGGATCCCTCCCAGGGTCGGAACGGACTGGTCTCTCCAGCTGCGTCCAGCCGTGGCGACGAGGGGACTGAAGAATGTCCCTCCAGACCTATAGACCTATGTGGACTGCCTAGATCCTCGCCTGGAAATTAGGTCTCAAGGTTCGGTCAGGGCTCTCCCCCCCTCCCTTCTCCCTTTTTTTCTGCTGGCCGGGACTAATGCTGGGCCACCTCAGCCCCCCAGCCGGTTCCAACTCGCATCCCACCCCTGGGCGCGCGGGGGCGGCCACCCCGAGCGGCAGGGAGCGGTGCACTGGTCATCCCTCCGGCGGGGGGCGGGGGTCGTACAGTCCAGCCTGATTAGGGCGGCGAGCGAGGGGAGGAGGCGACAAGGAGCAGGTCTTCGAGGAAGGCGGCGGGGCTTCTCAGAAGGCCTCGGGTCTTCTGATAAGTTCTCTGTGTCTTCGGTGAGGGTTTCGGAGATTTCTCAGAAGGCCGGGGGGCTTCCAAGCCTTCTGAGAAGGCCTTCTCCTTCTCACTTCCCCCCCTCGCTCGCCGCCGATGATTGGAGAGGACACGCGAGAGGACACAAGATGACCCAAGGCCCCTCGGAGGGCCACCGCGCCCCAGGAGCGCAGAGGTCACTGGGTGCGACGGGCAGGACACGAGGGCACTCTTGATCTGGAACGGTCGGCCTACGAATCAAACTCGCCTGTGTATCCGTGCCTGTGCACCGCACCTTTTGTAGAGGCCTCCTTCGCAGAACTCGCGCTAAACAGTGTTCTTCGTTTTCTTCTTCGTTCGGGATTTCCTGCGAAACGAAATCAAAACGAAAGCGGTCCACGAAATCGCCAGAACACCGTTTAGCTCGGGCCCTGCTCCCAAATGAGGTCCTTACATATGGGGTCGGAGGATCTCGCCGCATCGCCAAGGCATCGCCAATGCGTCGGCGATGCGTCGGCGATGCATCGGCGATGCATCGGCGACGTTGGCGATGCGTCGGCGTGGGAAAATTCTGGCGCCACATCGAGCCGCATCGTCGCGGCCCGCCGACGCCATCTGCTCGGACCCCATGTGGGAGGCCTCGATTTTGTCGCCGACAGAGGCCGCCGTCGCCCCAACGGGGAGGGTGCTGGCGTCGGTGTGCGGGAGGCTTCTCCCGGTGGGCGGCCCCACTCGTCCATGCCGCCCTCGGTCGACGCATCATCCTGCGCGAGCTCGGGGGGCGGGTGGGGGGCGAGGGAGAGGAGGCCGGAGCCGTGCGCGGGAAGGCCGCATGCTGACCCCCGCGCGGGGCCGGAGGGGGGGGAGGGCGGAGAGGAAGGGCGCGAGGACGAAGAGGAGGACGAGTTCTGTGGCCACTCATGGGGGTTTCCCATGTCAACTTGCTGGCTCTTGCGAGTCTACGCAAGCGGACGCCAATCGACGCTACATCGACGCTAATCGACAGTGACTCGGTGCTTTCTCATCGACGACAAGACGCAAGAAAACGCAAATGTACTCTAAAGACGGAATTTCGAGGACACACAGGGCTCCCATGAGTGCCTACCGAAGGCGAGAGATCAAGGAGAAGAGGAGGACGGTAGGGACCAGAGCAGAAGGCAGACGACGAGGATGAGGAGGATGATTGGCCGTGGTGACGAAGAGGATGAGGAGAGAACAAGAGCTGGATGCTTGATGCTCTGACTCCTAGCAACCATGGGTTCCCATAGTCTCCGAAACAGGAACTGCCTTTCACTTTGAGGTTCGGCTTTCGGAAACTGAGACGAGCGCGACCCCGCTGATTTTCGAAGCCTAACCAGCTATGCACAGGCCACCTCGTAGACCACTGGCAATAAGAATGACCAGTGACAGAACACAGGTTAAGAACAAGCTGACAACGAGAACGGGGTGCCACCTTTTTTAGCCGTGTCCACCTCGTCCTCCTCCTCCTCTTCCTCCTCCTCCTCCTCTTCGTCCTCGTCCTCGTCCTCGTCCTCCTCCTCCCGCCTCCCCCTTCAGACACTGACGCTACAGGCTGCGGGGTAGGGGGGTGGGGGGGGACGGCACAGGCGCGGCGACACAGTCGGCAGGCGGTGAGCGTGGGTGGCTCTTGACGCTGTGGGGAACGTTCCCAAGTCCGCCGCCTCCTCCTCCTCCTCCTCCGTCTCCCCCTCGCCCTTCTGATCCTCACCAACTTGATCCTGCCTCTGCTGTTTCTCGCTCTCCTTACCCTCACCCTCCTGCCCCACGATCGTGATCCTCCCCCTCCTCATGCTCTCCTTATCCTCGCTCTCCTCGTGATATTCACTCTGCCGATCCTCACTCTTCCCGATCCTCCCCCCTTGCTGATCTTCATTATCCTGCTCCACGCTCGCCTGCTACTGAGCCGCGTGACTCTCACCCTCCTGACCATCCCCCTCGCGAGCCTCGCCCTGCTGATCCATCCTCCTCGTCCTCACCCACCGCACCACCGCCTCCCACGCGCGCCCCTACCGCAGAGCGGCTGCTACTCGTAAGGACGCACGATGGACAACGTTGCCCCTGAGAGGGCCCCGGACCTAGGACGAGCACCGCGGCTGGGTGGCAACGCTTCCGCTCGGCCTCCGGGCGCTCATGCTGCTCCCCGCCTTCAATCCCCGAAGTCCGTGCGCTGCAACGCTTCCGCACCGGGCACCTTCGCCCAGCTTCGGGTCGCGCGGGACCATCACAGATCGGCCCGGCTCGAGAAATGCCGCAGGAAGGTGTAGCACAGTCAACCGTATGGTAAGGACGCACGATAAGTGATGCATGGGCCTGGAAGGCCGTGTCGACACTCTGCGAGCGGGGCGCGGCCAGCGAAAGCGGCCAAGGATGGTCCGCAGGGGAAGGATGCAATGGTGACCTCAGAAAGTCGTTCATCCTTACAATGCAGGTCGTGATTCCTCGCGGTGCTGCACTTCCTTCGCAACGTTGGATCTCAGGGTGGGGTTCGCGAGTGCCTGCTCGGATATGGATGCTCGCTGGCCCTCTTTGGGGGCGCAAGGGTAACCTGGGAAAGTTGCTCATCCTTACTGTGCGGGCTGACTGTGCAGTAAAGCAATGTTACATCGCGCACGCCTTTCTGAGCGGTGTGGCCAGAGAGCGCCAACCACGGAGCTTATGCTAAGAGATGTCCGAGCGTGCGCGCCGCCCTGGTGTGGCCGACGCGCATCTAGCACTAACATGTGCGGGCAGTGCTGCTTCTACCCTCGAGGCCTCCTCCTGCTACTACACTCGAGGCCTCCTCCTCCTCCTCTTCCTCCTCCTCCTCCTCACCCTCCGCTTCTATTCCTCCTCCTCCTCCTCCTCCTCCTCCTCCTCCTCCTCCTCCTCCTCCTCCTCCTCCTCCTCCTCCTCCCCCCCCGCCCTCCTCCTCCTCCTCCTCCTTCTCCTCCTTCTCCTCCTCCTCTTCCTCCTCCTCCTCCTCCTCCTACACTCCCTGCTGCTCCTACTCTGAGGCCAATATGATCTTATCTCCTCTCTGCTTCGAGCCCGACCAGGCCAGGTCCTGCACCTGGCACTCTCCCCGCGAAGTCGTGCCATGCTGGGCATGCGCGCGCACTGCCGCTGCCGACGAGTGACACCGTGTGGCGGGGCAGGCGCGCGCGCTGGACGGGGCACCATCACTGACAACTGCGTCGGGCAACAGGTAATCAAACAATGACGCGTGGGCCACGCGCGCGAGCTGAGGCCCCATCCCTACCGAATACCACTACGCGAGCCACGCGAGCGCGCGACGAGCGGGCACCGCCCTGTCAACGAATACCACGCGGGCCTCGCGCGCGCCAATCCCATCAGCACCGTGACCCAGATGCGCGCGCGAGTTCCTACGCTTGCGCGGCCGTGCGAACGGTCTGGCATATGCGTCCCTCTCCTCCTCCTCCGACCCCATCCGCGAGAAGTTGCCGCTGCGCAGCCCAACCGAAGCTTTGTTGCAGAGAACCCTGAACGTCGGCCCTGCGTAGAGGACAAACAACGGCATACACATAATTCCTCTGAGGTTCGCGCGCATTCCTTGGATCGGCGCTGGGCCCTCCTCCATGGCGTGCGGAGCGCGCCAGGAGCGGCGCCGGAGGCGCCGCCAGGGGGGCCCCCAGCGCAGATCCAAGAAATCTGCGCGGAGCTCCGAGAAAAGCATGTTTATGCAAGTATACTGAGCTCAGAAAGCACTGATACTTGGGTTCTCTTTGATTGCTTTGAGACTCTGTGAGGCCAGAGGCCCAACGAGGCCTGCGTACGTAAGGTGGGCGTGTGGGGTCGCTGGGCGTGCGAAATATGCTTCACGTTGGCATCACATATACTATGCTTCTGAGCATGCATAGAGCGAGTCTAGAGTGGCCGTTTGGGGTATCGCCGTTTTGGGTGTGGTCGTTCTGGGCATGCCCAAGAACGAGCATAGAGTGGGGGTGTCCCCAAAAGAATTCAAGGGCAACCCGAGGTTGAATCCCTGAGCCTTGGAAGAGCGAGCTCGGGCCAGGACGGCAGCAGACGAGGCAAGGGGGGAAGCGGCAGTGGCAGCGGCGTCGGCTCGAGCCGGATGAGCGTCGACCTCCTGTGGCCCTCCGAGGCTCCGAGCCCAAACTGAGCCTCGGCCCCGCTGCCCCTCGACCCGACCGCGCGCCTCGTCCCAGCCGCTGCTCGCGGTGGCGCTCCCCGCGCTCTCCGCCCCTGCTGGGCCGGCCTCGCCTCCGAGCATGGGCGGCGGAGGGCTCCCCCGGGCCTCTGTGGGACGAGCGTCGCGGCCGGAGGGCAGCGCTTTCGCTAGGCCTGCGGGTGCTGGAGGGGCCACGATGGGGGAGGGAAGGGCGACCAGCTGGGGGGGGGGGCATCGGGCCCGAGTCGGTGATACATCGCCGACAGGTCGGCGATCGGCCCCTTCGATAGCGGATCCGCACCTCCCTGGGCGAGCTGGGCTATGGGGCCACCATCGGCGACCAATGGGCGACCGGGGGTCGATACATCCTGGGCCTAGCTGCCCCGATACACAACACGCAACACGTAGCGTGTCGACACGAAGTTCCACACGTAGACTGAAAACGTAGGTCTGACGCGTTACGTTCGCCAAAACGTGGGCCAGCACGTGCCGAGCCAACACGCAGCTTTTTGGCACGGAGATCGTGAACAAGGTACGTATTGCGTGTAAACATGGGCGTATCAGGGCAACTGAGATCCACAGACCCCCGACGTCGTGATTTTTGTGCAACGTCGACCCCCAAAGGTCTCGACCCCTTCCCCGGGACCGGCTTTTCTATCCTGAGTCGTTTTTTGACGGCCCCGAATCCTGGCAACGGTCCCAGGAGGCCGAAAATTGCGAAAAAAACACCTGTCGTTATTGTTTCATGACGCGAGGGGGTCTGGGTCCTGAGCCTAGCTCCCCCAACGTGGCCCCTGAGAGGGCCCTGGGCCTAAGACGAGCACCGCGGCCGGGGGGCAACGCTTCCGCTCGGCCTCTGGGTGCTCCTGCTGCTGCTCCCCGCCTTCACTCCCCGAGATCCATGCGATGCAACGCTTCCGCACCGGGCATGTGGACGTTTTCTTATTCGATGTTTCGACATTGGGCGAAAATGGTTGGAGGGGGGTGGTCTGGCTCCAGACCTCCGCTTTGTGCGACTGTTTCATACAATGCCTCAGTTGTCAACCACAGATCGGGCAGTCCTATGGATGGAACACTCACGGGGAATCCTATGGGGAATATGGGGACTCCTATGTGGGAGTCCTATGCGGGAATCCCGTGTCTGAGTCCTACGGGGAAATCTTCGCCCAGTTTCGGGTCGCGCGGGACCATCACAGATCGATCCAGCTCGAGATGCCGCAGAAAGATGTGGCACAGTCAACCCGTATAATAAGGACGCACGATAAGGATGCAGGTGCCTTGGAGGGCCATGTCGACATTCTGCGAGCGGGGCGCGGCCAGCGAAAGCGGGCAAGGATGGGCCGCAGGGGAAGGATGCAATGGTAACCTTGGAAAGTCGGTCATCCTTACAATGCAGATTGACTGTATAGGGCTCTGGTCGTGATTCCTCACGGTGCTGCACTTCCTTCGCAACGTTGGATCTCAGGGTGGGGTTCGCGAGTGCATGCTCGGATGTGGATGCTCGCTGGCCCTCTTTGGGGGCGCAAGGGCGTGAAGGCTGCTGGGCTGCTGCCCCTTCTGCTGTGCGCTGTCTTCTTTCCTGCCTTATCTTGTTTTGCCCATTTAGGCATGCCTCAGTTCTTCGACTGCCCTTAAGAGGGACCACCTGCAAGAGTGACCTCTGGTGCGCGGCCTCTGGGGGCCGCGAGGGAGCCAAATCCAAGCGCGCAGGCCACTGCTATCGCATCGCATTCAGCGATCAGGGGGGCCACGTGGTCCCGCACCAAAAATCACTCCAGCGAAGGGTCACTCTGACATGGAATCGAATCCGACCAGCCATTTGGGCGACAGGTGGTCTAACGAGGTCCCCTTTCCCTCTTGCAAAAAGCCCCTCTTCCCCTACGGGGAAGGTTTACCCCTCCCCTTACCCCTCCCCTGGACTTTTTCGGGCCCCCCCGCGAGGTGTCAGGGCTCCAAAACGGCCTCGGCGAGGAAGCCAATGTCACTGGTCTTACTAAGGTTTTGGCTCCATTTTGGCCTCTTCGGGGGGGGACTGGACTTTATCCCACCAGCCCTCTGGGCGCCAAAGTCATTGGTTTTACCCAGGTTGGGGAGGGGTGGGGGCTGAACGCTATCCCACCAGCCCTCTGGGCGCCCAAATCATTAGTTTTACTAAGGTTTTGGCCCCATTTGGGCCTCCTTGGGGGGGGGGCTGAACGGCTAAACGTTACACCATCTCCTCCTTTGGTCGATGGCCTTCAAGATGGCCCCAAGAGGCCTTCGATGGGCTCCCAAGGGGGCCCCCTGAAAGCCCCAAGAGGGCCCCAAGAGGGCCACACGACGTCCCCAGAGGCTTCCAAGACGCCCGAGATTGACCCCAAGACGGCTAAGATGGCCCCAGTATGCCTCCAAGACGGGCCAAGATGCACCCAAGACGGCCTAAGATGGCCTCAGGATAGCACAAGGCGGCCCAAGAAGCCCAAAGAGGCCTCCAAGACGGCCCAAAAGGCGTCCAGGTGGTCCCCCAGGAGGGCACGAAGAGGCCCAAATCACGGATTGTCCTTAAGTTGTTGACAGAGTTTGGCATTTGCGTCTTCTCGGCATTCCGACGGCTCAAGACGGCGCAACAGGCCCCCAAGATCGCCCAAGAGGCCTCCAAGATGGCCCCATGACGGCCCCAAAGGCCCCCAAGACGGCCCCAAGAAGGCTCCAAAACGGCCCAAGACGCCTCCAAGACGCTCAAGATGGCCTCCAAGAGCCCCTGATATGCCCCAAGAGGGCCCCCTGACGACCAGAAAGGCCCCCAGGACGGCTTCCGACGGCGTCAGACAAGCCAGGAACGCCCTAAGACGGCCAAAGCAGTCCCCAAGAAGCCCCCAAAGGCCCCCCCCAACCCTCCAAAAGACCCCCAGGAAGCTCCCAGGAGGCCCAAAGAGTGCCCCAAGAGGCGCCCAAGAGGCCTCCTCCTCCTCCTCCTCCTCCTCCTCCTCCTCCTCCTCCTCCTCCTCCTCCTCTTCCTCTTCCCCTCGCCCCCACGCGGCCCCCAGGGATGGCCCGAAGAGGCCTTCAAAGGCCACCCCCTTGCTCCCAAAGGTCTTTCGGTTCATCCTGGTTGCTCGCTTTGTTTCCCTAGATGTGTCCCTTCGTCCCTTTTTCCCGCCAAGTCTCGTGGGCAGGGCTTCTGAATGCGTTGGTGTGGATATTGTTTTCGTGCGCTTTCGTGCGCGAGCATCGCGGTCCAACCGCGCGCCTTCAAGAGATGAGGCAGCCACGCCACGCTCTCACTTACGGCCTACGCAACACTGGTGGGGATACGTTTTTGTTCAACAGGCTCGCGAGGCGGGTCGAAAACCGTCCGAACACTAGTCGGGCCGCGACCAGACAGCAGGAGAAGAAAGGTAAACGAAGCGAGCGAGCGGGCAGCCACTCACAAAAAGAGCCAAAACCGATACTCCCAAACCCGGTGGCGTGGGAGATCCCGGTGGCGACCAGCAAGTAAGCGCTGCCAAAATTGCGCGGCGGCTCGACCATAAACACGCAGAGGTCGATCGCTCGGTGTGACTCAGGCAAACAGCGCAGTCAGAGACGAACTAGACCGACGGGCACACCCAGACGACATCCGTGAAGTAGGCGAACACATGCCAAAACATCGTGTCGGCGCGAGAGTGAAGAGGGACAACATCATCACCGACAAGACTGCCCACGGCAGTAAAACCTGCAACGCCTGTCGAAAGCGAAGTCCAAGCAGGAGAACGTCGGCCAACGAGCGTGCAGAGCCACACTTGCCGAACCCGAGGTCCAAGTACCGTAAGGTAGGCAATGTAGCGAGAGACCCACTGGAACCTGCCGGTCATCAGTATGGGGCCGACACCAGCCATGAGCAGGCCAGGGGGCACCTGACCTCAGCGAATGCGACGCAGCACCACTCCCTGTGTGCATCCTTGCATGAAATCCAGACCACCTGAACGCCATCAGGAAGCAGTATTGGGCAGCAAACCCCAGCCGCCAGGGAAGAACCTTGTGAAACAGGAGGGAGAGCACGCCGGTGCAACAGCTGACCGCTGTGGCATAAGGATGCAGGAGGAGAGGAGGGGAAGTGCACGCCAGGCACGGCAGGCACCCCGGTGCGGCAACTAACCACTGCAGCATTAGGATGCAGGAGGGAAAGGAAGCGCACGCCAGGCACACGGTGTGAGAGGAGGGGGGACGAAACATATACTCGAGCAGTTGATGCTGACTGTGCCAATCGTAGCTGTGCCACTTTTGTCCGCGCTGACTATGCCAAACCTGACTGTGCCAGCCGTGGCTATGCCGACCCTGACTGTGCCAAATAAGCTCTTGTGGAAAGTGAGCGCTCGTAACGACACTTGCCGAACTCGACGTCCTTGCACCGTAACTGTCAACAGTGCATCGAAATCCCACTGAACCCTTTCGGCCATCAGCGGGGGGGTGGCACTGGCCTAAGGCAGCCAGCGGGCACCTCGCGCCCATTCCCAGTGCGAAGCTTTGCGTGAGATCCAAGCCAACGGAGCACCATCCGGCAGCGGAATTGGCGGCAACCCCAGCCGCGAGGGAAGATCCCAGTGAAACAGGAGAGGGGGAGTCAGCTAACCGCCGAAGCAAAAGGAAAAGAAGGAGGAGAGCTCACCATAGCCCTCACTGACGCGCGCGCCAGGCGCTCCGCATCGAAGCTTATCTCAGTAAACCCGCCACTGGCACCAGCTTGCCGTTGTTCTTCGCACGAAGTCCTGGGTAAACCTGGGCTCTTTCAGCCGCGAAATAGCGCGCAATCACGGATGATGAGGTCTTCCATTGGGCTAGCGCACCGTCCCATATGCGCCAGCGGGTGTAGGCGACGCGTGCTGTCTTGTTTAGCCGCGCACTAGTTACTGCAAGAGCCCGCAAGGAGGCGCCGTCGACGAAACATTCTGGGCGCTCTTCAATGGGGCGATTGGCAGGGACAATCACGGTGGGCTGCCAGTCTGAATCCGCCATTGAGCCGCAATGACTGCGTAGGAGGCAGACAGAGAAGGAGAGCAGGGGAACGCGGCTAACCGCCGCATGCATAGGAAAGAGAGTTAGCAGTGTAGGCGCCTGGCGCTACTAGGTGCACCACATGCCCGGTGCGATGTCAGAACCGCATCTCAGCGAAACTGGGTGGTGCCCCACACTCGGTGTTACTGTCGATGCCGTTTCTCGGTCCATGGGCACTCGGTTGCTCGGCCCCTCATCATCCCAGCATTGCCCGGTGAATCGGGTCCGTCCTTCGCCTTGCCTTTCGCCTTGCTCGGGTGCTCTCCCGCTGCGTGGAAACTGGTGGCGGCGGCCCCGCTGCTGCTGGCAGCGCCTGAGCTGGACGCGTCACTGACTGCCGTGACCCTGTCAGTTGGGCTGCGAAGGTTGGCCTCAGTGCGCATGGCCTGTTCGGCGCGGTACACGTCGCAGCCTGCAGTGCTCCACGCAAGGATGAGATTTCGGCACGCGCCTGGCGGCTGCAGTGCCGGGTCGAAAGTCGACTGGGCTGTAGTGCGTCAGGTTTGGGCCCGTCGTCCTTCTCGGGCTCGTGGATGGTCAGTGGGTCCTTGGAGAAGGGTACCCATTTGCCATGATTGAATATCCCGTCATTTCCCGTGCGCTCGATCTGGTTACGCCAGGCGTCGCCACGAGACTGCGTGGCCCGGCGGCCTGAAGACGTGTCACAACTCCACAGTCCTGTAATCAGCGGTGTGCTGAATGGGAGCGTCTCGTTGTTCTCTTCTGCCGCTCTGTTCCCTGCCTCACACGTGCCCTTTTGGTGGAGCCCAATATGGCGGATCTCGCCTCCTCGGCAGCGGGGGTCTATCGTCTGTGGCGCTGGATGTTTCATCGTCAGCAGTCCCGGTGTTGTGACACTTCCCTGTAGCTGGGCTTCCTTCAGGCTCTTCTGCCTCGTCCGCTTGAGACTCCTCGCTGGACTTGCTCGGGTCGTAGTCCAGGAGATCGCCGTCTGGGTCCCTGCGTTCCTCTGTGGCAGCAGCAGGCTCGTTTCCTGAGCTGCTCCTGATCTCTCTTGTAGCTGTTCGTGGACCTTCAGGTCGGGCCAGTGGCCGCCCGCTTAAGTCCGTGCCAGGGTGGGCAGGAAATAATTGCCTCCCGAGAGAGGCGTTCATGACCACGCTGACCAAGGGGTCCAGACTCTTCCCCTCATCGCGTATTCGTTGGGAGCCCGGGTCGCACAGGGCCGAGATGTTTTTCCTTGGCGTTATCAGCCAACCTGGCCATTCGCTCCATGAGCTGCTGAAAGGACATGCTGTCTGGTGCTGCGGTACGGCTTGGGACGATTGGTCGAGGTCCAATCCCACGTGGGCGCATGCATGTGTCCAATATTCCCAAGTTAACGTTGTCCAGACGTATCGCATGGTCGGGGGCGTCCACGATGTCACGCCAACACCCGTCATGCTCGTCAACGCAGTCATCTTGCTCAAGGGATTGCGGCCAGTCCACACCCGCCAGACCAGAGCGCGCGCATCGGCGGCACCTGCAATTCGAACCACCAAGGAGCCGCCAGAGGACCTCCAATGGGGGAGAGAGCTGACCGACGCGATCGACCCATGCGACGCCACAATCGACTACCGCGTCAACAAGCTACCGAAGATCATGCTCGGGTGCACCGCGTAGGCTATTACCAAACAGGGGACGAAATACCTACATTCACAGAACACACACAGCGTGTAGCACAACTCGAAAAGCACTGAAGAGAGGACACCGTACCCAGGGCACCACCCGAGTTCCAGCAGCAGAACCAGCCGCGCGTTCTGCATTGCCAGTGACTTCGAGAAGGACGGGAACTACTGGACTACAGACCACCCACGGATACCAGACTTGACCCGTCCTTCGTAGCTGCAGTTGTAAGGGTACCCGACAAGTCGCAGTACGACCTCGACTCAGCACGACTCACCCAGGAGCACACCTACGCAGCATTGGAAGTGGGACCTGTCTACGTACTCATCAACACTTCTCGGGGAGAGATGCAGACCCGATGTGGGCACCACTACACCTTGGCATACTTGGGAGCAACCAGCGACCGCTGGATGAGGGAGACCCACACTAGCGCGGCTTCTTCATCTGGAACCGCACCACACCCAACACCGATGACCCTGCTGGCCACTGGTCCTCACGGCCAACTTACGTGCCCCATTGCCGCACAGCGATGGCCCAACCGCCTCCAAGATGGCCACGATGACCCTAGATGGCCTCAACTGTGCCTCCAAGACGACTAAGGTGGCCCCACGAGAGCTCAATATAGCCCCAAGATGTGTCCAACACGTCCCAAAATGCACCCAAGACGGCCTAACATGGCCGTTAGATGGCCCACGACGGCCAAGAAGACCCCCCCAAAAGGGCTCCAACACGGCCCATGAGGCCTCCAAGAGGTCCTCCAGGAAAGCCGGAAAAAGCCAACATCATTAATTGTCCATCCGTTTTTCAGGATTCGGGCATTTGCTCCTTTTCGGCCGTCCCACGGTCCAAGACGGCCCAAGAGGCCCAAGAGGCCCCCATGATCGCCCAAGAGGCCTCCACAATGGCCTCATGACTGTCCAAGAGGCCCCCAAGACGGCCCCCAAGAGGGCCCCAAGACGGCCCAAGGAACCCTCCAAGCCGCCCAAGATGGACTTCAAGGCGGCCCTGAAACGCCTCAAGGGGGCCCCAAGTTGGCCCAGAGGTGCCCCCTAGACGGCTTCCGGCGGCGTTAGGCGGGCCAGGAGCCCTCAAAAGGCCACAGAGCCACCCAAGGAGCCTCAAAGGCCTCCAAGAGGCCCAATGAGACCCCCAAGAGGAATCCAAGAGGAACCCCCAGAGGCTCCCAGAAGGCATCAAGAGTGCCCCGTGAAGTGCCTTAGAGGCCTCCTCCGCCTTCTCCTCCCTCCTTTTTGCTCTCTCTCCTCCCCTTTTTCTTTCTCCGTGCCCGTGCATCCTCGTGCATCGAATCCTGCCATGCCGTTGTCAACGCTTCTCTAGCCGTTCGGTGGTGCTCGCCGCCCTACGTGGTGCCTCGCTAATCGCATGGGCTCTCCTCGTGCGTTTCACTTCGCATTTTTCCACCGCCGTCCTCTTCCTCTTCCCCTTCCTCCTCCTCCTCCCCCTCATATCTTTTCCTACAGGGGTGTTCCCAAATGTTGCGAAGTTGATTGTGACCGATGATCTGGTCGGTGTTCGAACTTCTCCACACAGCCTGTCGCAAACTATTACATCTACAACGTAAACGTCATCTTCAGCGGCGTCGTCATCATCGTTCCATATTTGGCAGAACACGGAAACCCTGGAAACAAAAATGCTGCCATCTCTTGGGGCGCATGTTTTACTTCCGCCAGCTTCTGCTGGCGGATGCGGCCTTGTTTTACTTCCGCCGACCTTCCGCCGCCTTCCGCCGATGAAAAAATGACAACTCCTTCGATCCTCGAAGGCGAAGCCCTTTTTGGAACGCCTCATTTGTCAGCCAACTTCGCCGTGTGACGCCAAATCATGAACGTCGCTGTCAACGTGGTCATCGCCGCCATTATTTTCATTGCCATTACCCTTGCCCTCGTCATCATGGCAACTCTCAAATCCTCGTGATTACCTTCATCGTCATGCTCATGACCATCGTCACCAATAAGTCAACCCCCTCTAGCCGTCAGCGTCGACTAACGCGGTCACCCTGCAAGCCCATACCATGGACGACCGAAGAGTGTGAATCAGGATACGGGAACCAACTGGTGTACGAATATCGCGGTTACGCCCAATACATGATGTGTGAGAGCCTGACCTGCTTGAAATTTGAAGTGGTTTAACATAACAAAAAAATAAAAAGCCCTGCCCCTACTTTGGTCTGGTTGTGGTGCCGCGAAACGTGGTGGATCAATGCGTCCAGGCCGACGTATCGACGTATGGTTTGATCATGGTCGACTGTGGCGTCGGTAGGGGGAATCTGTCTACTGACGATCATGGCGAGTTCCGCATGATGTTTGACACACAATTCCAAGTTGCCGATGGACTGTAAAGAACTAGCACATCAAACGCAGACGTGTGATAAGCACATGGGCTCACAAGAAAGGGGTCTGGGAGTCGCCACCGACACAGCTTTACCAGAATCCGCTTCGAGGCTGGGGAGCCACGGCGAGCTTGACACGACAGCCCAGTCGCTGAGCGAAGGGACGACGGAAGGAGGCGGAAAAGGGCGTACGCACGCACACGCGCACACACTTTTCCTTTGGCGCGGTTTATGGGATGCAGTCGACGGCTCCATGGCCTGCAGTACGAAGGCGGGGTACGCTCTAGGTAAACTAAAACTCTTGTGTGGGAGCGAAGCAGCACCTGACTGAAATCCCAATGTCGCACACGCACGCGCACACATGCACACTCACATGCACACGCATACGCCCACATGCACAAGCACACGCTTCGGACTTCCTGTGAGGTCGAGCAGGCGTAGGCGGGTCGCTGTTCGGACGTCTTACGACAAACAAGTTAAGACAAGCAGCCAGGGTAGCAGCACATGTAGAAGGAGCCACCAGCAGGAGATCGTACACCCGAGCACGGTCGAAAGTCTTACACTCCAGCCTCGTCCTGGCTCGCGGGCGCCGGCTAGGCTATGCCGAGCAGGCCTCGGCCAAAATGGCTGCGAACGAAAATGGCGGGCGAGACGCTGCAGGGCAGCTATCCAACGTGCCAGCAGGGAAGAGGAAACTGACGAACTGGATCAGGCGCAGAAGCGGCAGGATGAGGCGGTGGATGACGAGCAATAGTAGCAGCAATAGCAGCAACCGTAGGCGCAACAACAGCAGGCACCGGGCGCGGCCTGGACGCGCCTGTCCTGCTGGACGCGCTTGCGCAAAGCAGCGCTGCGGCTGCGATCTCGTTCAGGGCAAGCGGCCCCGTTTCATAATGGAAAAGGACTCGCCGCGTAGAGATCGGCATGATGGAGAGAGCCAGTGCAGGCGACCCCCCTTTGCATAAGCCTCCCAAGACCAACCACAAATCTGCTAGGCGGCATGACATCGATGCATACTGCACATGGGCATCGCACGTATTGACCGTAACGCTGTCTCCACGTGTGAGGGGAATAGAAAATTGCATCTTCAAACCAATCACACGGAACACAGGGTCGTGAACCGCCGCTCAAGTCACATAAAGTAGCCGCAATAAGTCTTTACAACCCCCACCCCCACCCCCAATAAGGGGTGACTGATTATTTGTTCGGCCGCCTTCCCAAAGGAGTGCGGCCCACCAAGAGCGAAAAATCAATCTTCGTCCGCGGCACCCGCCGCGCAACAACGACGACTACGACTACGATTGCGATTGCGACTCCGACTACGATTACGACTGCGATTACGACTACAACCACGACTACGATAACGGCTACAACCCAGACTACAATCACGACGCCAACCACAACCACTGATTCCTAGTGCAATCCATGAGAAGATAATCACAAATCCTCTCGCGTACCGAGTCACCCTAAAATGGGTTATTCCCTTCGGAAAAAGCCCAAACATGATCCAGCCCGCTCAACAGTAGAGAGAAAATAGTCTCCGCCGCGACGACGACGACGACGACTACGACTGCGATTGCGAATGCGACTACAACCACGACCAATATTACATCTGCAATCACGATTACAACCACGATTACAATCACGACTAGAACCGCAAACACCAGTGCATCTTACAACCCTGATGAGAAGATGCTCACAAATCCTCTGGCGTGTAGGGTAGTCCACCATGAGTTCTTCCCCGGGAGAAACAACTCTAACATTACCCAGCCCGCCTAGCAATAGAGGGAAAATGCTCTCCGCCACGACGATGACGACGACGATGACGACGACTACGACGACTACTATTACAACCACGACTACGGTTACGACTGCAATCACGATCACAACAAAGACTACGATCACGATTGCAATCGCAACCGCTGGTTCCTAGTGCAATCCTCGTGAGATGATGCTCACAAATTCTGTCGAATGTGGGGTGGCCCAGGATGTATTACTCCTTCTAAGCAAGAAACCCCAAAAAGTACCTAGCACGCCTAACAATAAAAGGAAATCATCTCATCCGCGACGATGACAACAACTACGATAACGCTAACGATAAGGGCCACGAACAGGAGCTCTCCTCCACCCCCCTCTCCGCCTCCTCCTCCTCCGCCTCCTCCTCCCGGAGGAGCAGGAGGAGGACGAGGAGGACGAAGAGTAGGAGGAGGACGAGGAGGAGGAGGAGAAGGAGCAGGAGGAGGGGGAAAGGGGGGATGATCAGGAAGAGGAGGAGGAGGAGGAGGAGGAGCAGCAGCAGCAGCAGCAGGAAAAGGACGGGCAAGCTTTAAGACCAGCCCCATTCACCGCCGAATGGGAAGGGGGGGGAACCACATCAAAATGTTTATTGAGGCTACTCTTTGTCGCCTCATGCGACTGTCCCTCCCACTCAGGATAAACATATTGTTGTTGGGGGGCTGAGACGGCAGCTGTCTTCTGGGTTACATGGGGGGGGGGGCTGGGGGGAGGATGACTTGCCCAAGGGCAAGAGGGGACGGTGAGGCCAACGAGAGGGGCCTTCGGGGGGTTCGGGAAGAGGGAGCAAAACCCTGCGCTGAGCGGTTCGGCGACTTAGCGTTGCTGGACTGGTCATTTGCGTGGCACGGTGCATTCGTCGCGTCGTTCTCTTAGCAATCGCCGTCGCCGTCGCCGCTGCCGCCTGAAGAGCCGCAGCCTTCGGCGGATGACACGACGACGACGACGTTGACGACGTTGACGTCGACGTCGACGTCAACGACGACGTCGTGACGTCGGCGACGACGTCGTTTTCGTCTCGGCGACCGCCGTCGCCGTCGCCGCCGCCACCGCCGGAGGCACCCTGGGTGGGCAGGCACGGAGGTACGGCACTTCAACTGGCAAACAATCTGATTGTACAAAACGCCCGCACGCAACAGGGTGTGTGATAGAGAAACAACCACACACACACCCCACGTTCGTATAGTACGGAGTGGTTCTTCCACGTTGCACAGCGCAACGGCTATCTCCAACGGTCGCCATCGCCGCTACCCTACATGGCACAAGCAGCTGAAAGCGCGGATGATGCATGCGATCCGGCGTTTGCCATCTCTGGTCGCACCTGCAGGTGGCACGTTGCGCGCAGTGCACGTGGGGCGCGGGCGCGCGCGCAATGGCTGTCTCTACAGAAATTGCAAGGCAGTATGGGGGGCGGCTTGAAAAACGAGCGTGCGATTGCCAAAGTAATGACAAGCATCACGCTGGTTAACTTGCTACGGGGTCGCATCTTCGGGTGCACATTGGTTCCGCGTTGCTTTGCCGGACTCGCCGCTATTGAGGGCGACAACGAAGCACCAGGGCTTGCGCGTCATGGCGGCGCTGGAAGCGTCGCAACCTCGCGCGTGCGATGCGCCAGACACCGCAGCGCCGCGTGTGGAGCGCAGTCGCAGCACGGGAAGTCCCGGCGCAACCCTGGGTTTTGGCTCACGCGCTCAAGTGCCACCCGCTTGCGTGCGCAAGTGCGGTTCAACTGTAGCCTGTAGCACAGGCGTAAGTCAAGTGCAGTTCAGGTGTAACCCATGCAAATCAAGTGTAGTTCTCATGTTGTTCAAACGTAGCCGAAGTATAGTTTAAGTTTAGCGCAGGTGCGTCTCCGATGAAATCCAAGTGTAATTCAATTGTGTCACAGGTGTAGTCATTGTCGCTCACATGTACTTCAAGTATAGATCAGCTCTTGCTCAAGTGAATGTCAAGTGATTGCTCAGGGTGTCCGAGGGAAGTTCCAGTGGGGTTCAAGTGCAGTTCAAGTGTAATTCAACTGTGGCGGAAGGCGGTCCTTGCAGTTCAAGTGTAGTGCAAACGGCACTCATGTGCAGTTCAAGTGTAGTTCACGTGTGTTTCAAGCAAAACCCATATGGTATTCGAATATAATTCGGGCGGAATTAAATGTGGCTCGGGCGTAGCCATTCTAGTTCACGTGTGGTTCAAGCGAATTTCGAATGCAGTTCAAGTGTAGTTCAAGTGTATTTCAAGTGTGGCGCAAGTGCGGATCAGGTGTAGCTCAAGTGTGGTACATGCGAAGCCCTTGTAGCTCGAGCGCAGCTCAAGTGTAGCCCAAGTGTGGCGCAAATGAAGCTCAAGTGTAATCCAGGCGTGGTGCAAGCGTGGTTTCAAGTGTTGTTCAGGTGTCACTCAGGCGTACTTCAAGTGTGCCTCAGGCGCCGCCATTGCAGCCAAAATGTTTCCCAAGTGTATGTCATGTGAAGCCCGCGCGTATTCCAAGTGTAGTCTAGTTCAAGTGAAGTTCCGGTGTGGTTCAAGTGTGTATGAAGGTGTACCCCGCGTTGCTCAAGTCTAGTTCAAAGGTAGTCCATGTGTCGTTCGGGTGTAGTTCAAGCGTGGTTCAAATGTGGTTCAAGAGTTGTTCAAGAATCGTCCAGGTGTAGTGCAAGTGCGGTGCAGGTGTAGCCCTTGCAGCTCATGCATAGTTCAAGCGAAGTGCAGGACCAATTCACATGTAGTTCGAATCAATTCACATGTGATTCACGTGTTGTTCGAAAGAAATCCCGGCGCAATGCAAGCAAGGTGCAGGCGCAGTCCGTAAATGTCAAGGGTGGCCCAAGTGAAGTCCAAGTGTAGTTCAAGTGTGGTGCAGGTGTAATGCAAGTCTAATTCAAGTGTAATTCACATGCAGTTCGGGTGTGGTTCAAAGGCGGTTCGTGTGTAGTCCTTTCATGTCAAGTGTAATTCAAGTGGGCTTCAAATTTTCTATGTACTTCAAGTGTGGTTCTGGTGCGGATCAAATGTAGTTCGGGTGTACTTCGAGCGTGGTCCAGGTGCAGCCAGAATTGAAATTCTAGTGCGGCTCATGTGTAGTGCAAGCAGAGTTCGAGTGTAGTTCAGTTGTAGTTCAATGTAATCAAGCGTAGTTCAAGTGTGGTTCAAGGTAGAGTTGAGGCGGAACCACGTGTGGTCATGGCAGTTCAAGTGTAGTTCGAGTGTAGTTCATGTGTGGTTCACGTGTGGTTCCAGTGTGAGCCATGTGTAGTTCAAGTGTGATCTGAATGTAGTTTAGGTGTAGTGCGAGTGCGGTCCAGGTGAAGTCCTTCTAATTCAAATGTAGTTCACATGTTGTGCAAGTGTAGCTCAAGTTCGTTCAAGTGTAGAGTTCATATGTAATCAAAATGCGAATCACATGTGGTTCAAATGTATCCAACATGTGGTTACTGTGTAGTCCGCGTAATTCAAATGTTGTTTCAATGTAGTGCAGGTGTGATTCAAGTGTGCCTCAAGTGTGGTCCAAGCGCAACCCAAGTGCACCTCATGTGCAGTTCCGGTGTAGGCTTTGCAGATCATGTGTGAGTCAACTGCAGCTCAAACGTAGATCAAGTAGTTCACGCGTAGCTGAACTGTAGTTCAAGTATGGCTCAACTGTAGAAAAGATGTAGTCCAAGCGTGGTACAAGTGCAGTGCTGGCAGTTCACATGTTGTTCACATCTAATTCAAGAACAACTCAATGCTGGTGCTGTTGACGTGTAGTTCAAGTTTGGCTCAAGTGCAGTTCAACATTGGTTCTGGTGTAGTCAGTGTAGTTCGAGTGTAGCTCACGCGTGGCTTAGGCGATGCCCAAGCCCAGTGCATTTGTAGATCAAATAAATGTATGTCAGGTGTGGTTCGAGTGTACTTCAGGTGTAGTTCAAGTCTGGCCCGGACGAAATCATTGCTGCTCAAGTATAGTTCAGGTGTAGCTGAAGTGTGGTTCAAGTGGCGCTGAGGTGTAGTTCAAATTTAGCTCAAGTGTGGTTCAAGGATAGATCAGATCTAATTCAA